TGTGCCCCAGGGCTGGGGCCACCCGAGCGCCGCGTACCAGGCGCCGGTGCGTGTCATGTGCCTGGGGCCGGCGCCTCCAGTGCGCCACGCGCCGGGGGCAGAGCCGGCCCAGGTTGTCGGCGGGCGCACACAAATGCCCCGGCGGGCACCATGGCACGCAGGCACTGCGTTGGGGACCACTGATCTACTCACTCTCTTTTTTCCTCCTTTCCTCCCCTCACCCCGCCTTCCCTTATTGGAGCTGGACTTCTAAAACTCCTGTCATCTGAAGAAGTGGGTTGTGCCTACAAAAGCTCACGATACCATCCACGTTTTGTTCGACTAGTAGCACCTTAAAGGCTATTCATTGTTTTTTACATTTTTCCTGTTACAGACTAACTCGGCTCCCCCTCTGAAGCTTTTAAACAGGAGCAGGTCCCATTTCATAACAACTGCTCATTTCGTCCCCCCAGGGCCCAGACCACTGGTAGCCTCAGACTCTGAGCAGTAAATTGGACAACACCCTCCCCCCAGAGTCCCAGATCAACCATCAGTTGCTCAGCAGGCTGACGCATTCCAATGGCTAAGCTGCACGTGTCCAACCTAGCCAGGCTGGCACTGCTTGGAAATGATCAAAACCAGCTGTCGCTAGTCCCGGGAGAATGGCACCTGGAAGCTGGTTAGTTTCCAGGATAGAGCAGTGGCCGACAAGTGGCACTACATTCTAGAGAGGCTTCAGGCTGCTAAGAGTCTGCCATCCCTGCTCTGAAGAGGAGCAAGTTCCTGCCTGCCAGCCTCCCCTCCCAGGCTCTGGGTTCCAGCTGGGCCTCCTCTGCTCTTGGTTTCCAATTCTTCCCTAGGGCTAGGAACTACTGGGGGAAGTGACCTGGGCAAGGAGGACCCAGAGTGGGAAAATAACCATGGTTTTGGGAAGACAGGTCCGCAGGAACAAACCCTCCCTAAACACAGAGCAGGTGGCTAGGGGCTGGTTTTGCATAGGGAAGGGTGGAGGGGGAAGCAGGGTTGCTAGTAAGGGAAGGGCCCAAGGGCTAACTCTCAGAAGAGACTGGTGATTGTTAGCCACACAGACTAGGGTCAGGGATGAGGTTAGCAAAGGGGGGAGTTTAACACAGTGGCCAGCAGTGCCTCAAGGGGGATCTGGACCCTTAGAGCTGTAACTGCCAGGTGCCCCACAGAAGCACTCAATAGCTCTGTACCACATGTATTAGACACACCATGCAGCCAGCCAGCCCTGACATACAGGAAGGGAAGGAAAGTTAGAACCGTGCTTAAAGTCACCCTGCTTACCTGTATCCAGCACTGCAGCAGCAAAGCAACAAAGCAGCAGCAGCAGCAGCAGCAGCAGCAGCAAGAGAGCAAATATGGAAAAGCGAAAAGAGGTTAGCAGCAGGAACCCTAGGAGCCTGTTATACCCCAGGACAGCCAGGGAAGCACAGGTTTGACCTCAGAGCAATTGCTTCATTCCACATCAGAACCCAAGATATAAAGAGAAGAGCTGACAAGCAGCATTGTGCAAGAGCTAGTGTGGGCTCAGAGAAAACTCTGCTGTCCTGCTCTGGTGAGTCACTGGGAATATTCCTCACAGTGTTCCCCCTCCCCCTCCTTCGCCACAGCTAAACAGGAGTCAGCGGAACACTTGCAGAAAGGGAACATTGCTGAGATGCATTAGCAGGGTGTCGTGAGCACAACGCGAGAAGCAATTCTCCTGCTCGACACCACACCAGTTAGGCCTCAACTGGAGAACCGTGTCCAGATCCGGGCACCACTTTTCAGGACAGGTGTTAATTTGGCAGGCTGCATCGGCCTGGTCCTATCCGGTTTTCTTTTCTTTCTTTTTTTTATTAGAGAGACAAATTGGACAAAGTCCAGAGAAGAGCAAAAAAATGATTCAAGGTCTAGAACGAAGAAAGGCACCTTGGGCAGTAGCTGCCCTGCATCCCTGGCATGTTCAGGGATATCTGTAGGGGGGGGTCAGTGTCTGCAGGTATCTGCCTGATGCCAGGAGTCACTGCATGTGTCATAATTGGGGCAGAGTAAGGAATCTGCAGCGCTAGTCCCCAGCACTGCTGCCCTTCCGGCAGATATGTCCTTATTCAAGCAACAAGCACGTCCGCACCTCAGCATTCCCCGACCCAGCCTAGCCTGCTGCAGTCCTGGCAAGACGTTCACCCCACGGCCCACAGCACTGCTCCCAGATCACTCCAGCCTTGACTTCTAGAGACCAACGGTGGAGACTGGGGAAGGGAGGGCAGAGAGGGAGAGTGTTCTCCTTGGAGCAACTGCAGGACCAGGCAGGGTAACAAACTAGAAGCAGGAGCCCTCTCTCAAAGCCAACTTCTGCTCAGAAGAGGCTCAGATAGCGATGGCAGGCCTCCGGGGGAGCAGAGCTGTATAGATCTCTACAGGCCTGGGAACTGTCTGTCCCCTCCACCCACACCCACACCCTTTCACAAGTCACGGTCTGGAGCTCCTCAAGGCAGGGACCTGGCGTGCCTCCGTCTTTGTGCAGTTCTCAACAGAATGAGCCCCAGATCCGGACTGACGCTAGGGTGCTACCCAAGATTGTGAATCTTACTTCTATGGCAGCAGGGAAAAAACAGGTTACGATAAAGATGCAGGCAAATTTCCTGCCTTCGATGCCACAGGTGTGCAGAAGAGGAGTGGACAAGAGGAGGATGAAGTCACTTAGGAGGTTAGTGCACCCATCTTTGCTCTCTTATCTGTGCAGGAAGCTGGACTTACAGGAAGTCTCAGTGTCAAATTCTAGCTAACTGATTTTACTTAGGGTTGCCAGATGGTTTCAACAAAAATACTGGACACACTTGACATGACATCACAATCAACATTCCATCTGATTTAGAAAATACCAGCCCATTCTATTTTCTCCATTTGTTTCCTGAACAGAAAGTTCAAATGCTGGAATGTCCCGTTCAAAACCGGACACCTGGCACCCCTAATTTTACTAGGGATGTTAAAAAGCGGATGTTTTGTAAGTGCGTAGCCACTGAAGATTTCAGCAGATACATATTTACACGCAGGGAGTGGAGGAGGTGGGAGCTAGCAGCCCCCCCGGTCCCGTGCACTGCAGCCTCTGATATGGAGGCAGTACACGTGGGGAGCCAGCTTAAAAGAAGAAATGTTAAGTGAATGAGAAGAATGGAACTCATTTTGAGAAAGGAATCCAACCCTGGGGTTTGTCCCATATGTTTAGTGTCTACACCAGCTGGAGGTGTGCCACAGAGAACAATAAAGTTCAAAATGGCTGCCCTTAAAGGGGCAGGCAACTATTCCCCCCCCCCCCCAACTTCTCCTCCAAACATTTTGTTTTGTTTTTTTGCACTCAACAAAAAAACCTCGGTGTTCTCAAAAAAAAGTTATCGTTTGGTGTTCCTCGGTCTTAAAAAGTTTAAGAAACACTGTTCTACACTGCTTCTTGGACCAGGATAGAAAGAACCAAAGGCTACCGGCTGTCAAGCACTTGACTAAAGAAACAAAGCAATTCATGGAAAGCTGGGGCATTCTGAGTTTTCCATTTACTCTGCTCTCCTCCTCTAGTCTCATGATAGTTTTTGAAACAGGGCCTCTATTTTTCAGTTTCACAAATTCCAGATTTAACAAGTTCAATCTAGATTTTACTGTGCAAGACAAAACTGGGCAATATTTTATTTTGCAATTCAGAGTACTTGCAGTAAGCAAACTAAGCTAAAGTCCTCTTTCCTGCTGGCTTTCTTCTCTGCATCAGGCACTAGGAACATCAACAAACCACAGAACAGAAGCTGCCAGCCAGCCTCCCAGACACACAACATTACGCACAAGGCTATCATGATATCATTTCCCTCCGTGCTTTGGACTGAGTCAGAAAAAAAAATAAAATCTACTTTTAAACCATCTGTAGTTGAACTCAGCTGCTCTGTATTTTTGTTTGCTCATGACGAAAGAAAATTACCATGGGGAATGTGTTTTTATTATGGCCCTGCCTGACCTGCCAAACTTGGTAACCCCTGTTTAAGGACACAACATGGAAAGTATTTAATAAAAGGCTGGCTGAAAATAACTTGACATTCGAGCGTGCACCTTGCTATTTGACATCTTGTTGCCCCTCTGGTTTTAGCAGGGTCCAGCCACCCATCAGCAGCTGTCAGTTACACTCTGGGGACCGGCAGCTACTCCGACTGGCATCTGGGGACTAGTAAGAACCAACATCTCCAGTAGGGAACAGTCAGCGTCAACCCTCCGTTTCAAGGGGCGAGTGAGAATCCTGGTGTTAGCTTACCCGTCTCCAGGTCTCCTTCCACAAGGAATCCCAGGATGTTGTTCATGGCTCCCATGTAGAAGATGAGCCGCAGCTGAGTGACGCACATGGTGATGAGGCTGAGTAGCAAAATTGGGCTGAAGACACTGTGCATAAACGATGGGGATGCTGCAGAGGAAACGAGAGTCTCTAACGAAGGCAGCCTCTAGCAATGGCCTGACATCAGCTAGTCATCTACTGGCTACATCCCACAAACAAAAGAGTATAGGGAGAACAATGGGGGGCTCAAGCCAGTGACAAACTTGTGCAGCAGGGACTCCCCAAAAAAGAACAATGAGGGGAGGACAATGACAAGTAGCTGTAAGAATTCAGAGCATCAGTCTTTAGCAATAGCAGCTCACATGTTACATACTGTCTAAGTAATACTGACAGCCACCCAGACATCTGCCAGGCAGCAGCCTTGGAACCTGTGCATGCATATGGGGGGTTTTCAATACCTGGCTGAGCAATGAGGAGTTGCACATTAGGGTTGTAAAATAGCATTTAAAATATTAACCGCCTGCTGTGGGGTCCTGGTCCAGCCAGGCACCAGTTAACCCATTACCAGTAGGCACCACCCAGTCAGGGTCACCCGTTTACATTCCGATTGCAAGTGAGAGTGAAATTCACCTCACGTAGGGGTCTGCACAAGGCTTAGTTCTTACTCTGAGGGTGTAAGTGGTGCACGAGTGAATGTCACATGTACAAATCCAGAAGCAATACCTGCACTGTCTGCTTGACACTTCACTTCCAGGTCCACCGTTGACAGACAGAGTTTGTTGCCATCTTGAGCTGCCAGCTCCTTAGGGTTCTTCATGGAGCTCCCCACACTCAGACGACGTCCCACTGTGGTCACCTGCTTGTAAAACTGTTTCCCTGTAATTTTGTGGTCAAATCCTAGCCAGTTGAACTTGATCTTCACTCTGTGATGCAGCAGAAAAAGACTGAAAGCTGCAAAGCAGGGCTGAGATTCGTGGACTGATCTAAACACTCTTGAGTCCTGTGGCACCGTAAAGACTAACACATTTATTAGGGCATAAGCTTTTGTGGGCCGATGAATTGAAGTGGAAGTTACAGAGGCAGGGGTATATATAAGAAAAAGGTACTTGTGTTAATGAGGCTAATTAAGTCAGCGTGGAAATGGCTCATTCAGCCGCTGATGTGGAGATGTGACTGTCAAGAGGGGAAATTGCCTTTGTAATGCATTAACTAGTTAAGATCCTTATTCGGTCCTAAGTTGATTGTACTAAATTTGCAAATTAATTCCAGTTCAGCTGTCTCCCTTTGTAATCAGAGTTTGAAATTCTTTGGTAGAAGGATGGCTACTTTTAAATCCATCATTGAATGTCCAGCGAGGTTCAAGTGTTCTCCTACAGGCTTATGTGTGTTCCCATTCCTGATGTCTGATTTGTGTCCATTCATCCTTTGGTGCAGAGAATGGCTGGTTTGGCCGGTGTACATGGCAGAGGGGCGCTGCTGGCACTTGTTGGCGTGTATCACATTAGTGGAGGAGCCCCTGATGGTGTGGCTCATGTGGTTAGGTCCTGGGATGGTGCTGCTTGTGTGGGCAGAGTTGGCACCGGGGTTTGTTGCAGGGATAGGTTCCTGGGTGAGTGTTTCTGTGCTGTGGTGTGTAAATATAAATACATCTGTAAGGTTAGAAATAAATGTATGTTCCACTGAATGTATGTATGCCTCCCTCAGAGATTGGGCCCTGCAACTGATCCAGCCCAGCGGTGCCTAGTTCCCTAAAAGTGGAAGCAGCACTTACGTGTAGTCCATGTCTTCTGGTCCGGGGAATGGCTCCAGGGGCCAGTTGAAGAAACAGTTGAAGAAAACTAGCCCTGCACAGGATGCCCAGACAATCAAAATGAGGATGAAGGAGACACCGAAGTCATAGATAACCTGGAATTCACAGTGGAATAAGCACGTTAGCACAAATACCTACACTCTAATGTGCGTGGACATCCATGTGGGAGGAAATTGGGGGGGTAGGAGGGGAAGCTTGTGGCATTTAAAAGCCAAGGCTGAAGAAATTCTGTTACCTCATGTATTTATCCTCCCAACCCGCCTGTCAAGTCAGGCAGGACTTCTAGCCCCATTTAAAATGACTTGCCCAAGGTCACTCAAGAAGTCTGTGGCCCAGTCAGGAAATGAGCACAGGGCTCAAGTGTCCCAGCTTAGCACCAGCCTCTGGACCAGCCTTTCTAATTACCGTCACGCAGCAAGGAGCCCGGATGAGCCAAACTGGTCAGTGCTCAGAGTTCCACAGCCTCACCTTGATTCCAGGAAAAGTGACCGCCGAGGATGCGTAGGAGCCAATCATCAGCGCAATGAACGTGGACCGAAGGTCACCGAACATGTTGGGCAGCTGCAGGGAGAAGAAAAAGACACTCACTGAACCTGGACTAGCAGGAGAGGGGAGAGAGGAAAGTTGCTTTGAGAAGCACCAAAGATTTAAGCTTCTGGATCTAGGAAACGGAAGAAAATGTTAATTATTCCGGAACAGATCTGGCTTCAACAGTAGCCTGGGCTGCAGAGGGGCTGTGGAAGTGGGGTGTTCCCTCCTGGCCAGGGCTTGTCTACACGGGGATGTTTGCAAGTAGACCGATCCCGGTAGGTCAAGGCCAGAATAAGAGTGTCCATGCAGGGCATCAGAAACCAGCTTTTACACAGTAAAACAGCCATGGTCTTCCCAGAGAGGGGTCGGTCCTCACTCCTGCACCGCCCACACCCCCTCTCTATTTTCCAGCCAGTTTCCACGTCCAGCTCGTATCCACCATCTTTCTCTACAGCAGGGGCAGGCACTCCGGCCCTCAGGCTGCACCCATCCCATCAGCCACTGTGATCCGGCTCTCGAGCTCCCTCTGGGGAGCAGGGTCTGGAGCTTGCCCTGCTCAGTGTGTACCCTGGCTCTGCCCAGCTCCCAAAAGCAGCAGCCTGCCTCGCGCCAGCTCCTATGCACAGGGCCAGCCCAAGGGCTCTGTGCACTGTCCCTGCCCCAAGCACCACTCACACAGCTCCCATTGCCTGGGAAATGCAGCCAATGGCAGCTGCAGGGCTGGCACCTACAGGTGGTGGGGGAGTGCACAGAGCCACCTGGCCATGACTCCACATGGGGGACATGCCGCTGCTTCGGGGAGCTGTCGAGGTCAGCACAGCCCAGAGGCTGCACTTAGCCCCCTGCCCCAGCCCAGAGCCCCTTCTCATCCTCCGAACCCCCCCTATAGCTCCCTCCTGGATCCCAGAGCCCACCCCCCCCACCCCTAGCTCCCTCCTGCACCCTAAACTCCTCAGTTCTGGCCCCATCCACACTCCAAGCTGGAGCCCTCACCCCTCCTGCACCCCAGCTGTAATGACATGAGTGTTCATGAGGCTCCATATGATTGCCATACCCTCGTGATGTCCATAACGTTTGCCCACCCCTGCTACACCCCTCTATCCATCAGAGTCCTGTCTATTAGCGAGACAAGGGGAGATGAATCAAGATTTAGTTCCCCAACCTCGGGCAAGCCCAACCCAAGGTACCGATCCCCACCACTTCCTTGCCTAGGATTTCTCATTCTCCACATCCCAGCACCCTGTACAGTGTGCACAGCCAGCCATGCACTGCTCGCCAAGCACAGAGCCAGGCGGGACTGCTGACCCCCACCACAGAGCTTCTCCAACCGGGCGGGGCTGGCTGCGGCCAAAGCCCAAGCACTTCAGGCCTGGGGTGGAGTTTAGGTTACAGGCCCCCTGCCAGGGCTAAAGCCCTGGGCTTTGGCTTAGCCCCGCCCAGAGCAGTAGGGCTTGGGCTGCCTGAAAGGGGCTGCAGCGCAGTGAAGTGGGAGCACCCCAGAGCTATTCAGCCCCCCTGGACCCAGGCCGTTAGACTGCCCTGAACTCCGGCCTGAAAGGGGGGGGCGTCCCTTTCTAACGGGCATCTGGATGCAAAACCTGCCACTGAGGGAGACTCCACCACAGTCCTTGGGAAGCTGTTCCAGTCGCTGATCGGCATCACTTCAAAAATGGACAGAAAATTCAGATGCAAATGCAAACGCCAATGCTGCCGGGCTGAGAGCCTGCCCTCCTTCAGCCTGGAGCAGGGACCGCTGGTGTTGGGCTGCTTAGCTCCCCGGGGACGGGCATGGTCGGTTACAACTCCTCCGAGCGGCTCTCTTCAGCAAGCTGCACTGAAGCCCACGCGCCAGTTTCTAACCAGGCCCCAAGCTCCCTCTCTGACGGCTCCTGCAAGTTCACACATTGCTACGGGTTCTCGCCCAGGTCATGCGCATCCAGGGCAGAGTTCATCTTGGCACACGAAGGGGCTACATACACAATGGCCTTTCTTGGACCCAGTGGGGCCACGGGACTGGAGCAGCGCGGCACTCCACTTCCCTACTGTGCTGTGTAAACGTGCCAACCCTAAAAGCCCATCTCAAGTTTGGGACTGAAGTAATTCCGGCCAGTCACTCCACAGCGCAGTTAACGGGACTTGGGCTGGCGCCATGTACGGCCACCAACAGGAAAGCCACCGAGGTTCAGCTAAAGGGACGGTTCTCCCAAGTCTCTGCTGTGGAGGCAATGCCCTGAGCGGGAGGGAAGAGCCTTTTTCCTCATTCTGCAGCAACCCCCCCCCCCCCACTCTGGCAGGCAGCAGCTGCTGCCACAAGCTTCACAACAGCCCAGCTGGCTCAGCTCAAGGAAGGCTGCTGCAATGCAGGGCCTCTGGAGCAGGAGCAAAAGAGCGCGAACAGCCGCAGAGGGAGAAGTCCCCACTACTAATAGCCTGGGAGTTTGGTTTTTTAAAATCCAGTCTCTCGAATTGCTCACCTGCTGCTTGGAGACAGAAATACTGCTCCACATACAGCGACTCTTCGTGGTTCTCATCTCAAAGTGAGTTCCAGGGTTAAAAGGGCCTCAGCCATGGCATGAGCCGGGCAGCCCTCCACTGCGTTCAGTGGCTGTGGGGATCACTGCCGCTCCAAACAGCGGGCTGGGCTCCCCAGCAGGGTTCCAACAGGGGATGCGGAGGCGACGCTTGCAGGTGAGGGCAGGACGCAGCACCCACTGGTGTCCTCCCCCAAGGGTGCACAGAGAGCCTCTGAGCAGCATGCAAGGCTGTGGCAGTCAGGCAGCGTCTCCCACTAGCCTGCAGGAGATTAGCCGCCGGGGGGGGGCATGGCAGGTGGGATCCAAACATCTGGTGGGATGGACCCAGCCCACAGGCCGTATTTTGCCCACCCATTCTCTAGAAAGAAGCTGGCCCTTGTCCCGTCAGGAATTCAACTCCTGTTTATTTAAACTTTGCAATACCCTAAGCCTACACAATTACAGCAGCTGCGGGAGGGGAACACAGCTGCTTTGTGGTTTGGTTTCCTCTCAAAGCCACAGAGCTCACACAGTCTTCCCCCTCACACAGCACAGAAGCAAGACTCAATGCCGGGGCTACGGCTACACTGTAGCCTTCTTCCAGAAAAGCTTATGCAAATGAAGCAGGGAGTGGATATCACCACACTTCAATTAATTAGCAGCCACTTTTGCGCAAAAAGGAGCTGTGTAGACGGCTCCTTTTTGTGCAAAGACCCCTCTTGCGCAAGAGCCGTTCTTCCTGAAACAATGAGGCAGGACAGTTCTTGGGCAAGAGGGGTTTTTGCGTAAAAAGGAGCCGTCTACACAGCTCTTTTTTGCACAAGAGCCTCTTGCGCAAAAGCACATGCTAATTAATTATGCAAATGAAGCATGGCGATATTCCATGCCACACTTCATTTGCATAAGCTTTTCCGGAAGAAGGTTACAGTGTAGCCATAGCCCGGGTGACACCTCTGCCACAGTGGCAGGTTCCGTCAGATACCAGAAGGGACAGCAGCAAGGGAAGGCAGCACCTGCCCACCTCTCTGCGCTAGGGCAGGGTTTTGAGAAAAGCAGAGCACAGCTGCTATTTACACACTAAATAAGTAGCTGGATTTTTCAGCTGCCCTGAACCTGAGCTGTGGGCCTATTTGAAATCATGGGATGGTGGGCGGGCGAAGCCCGCCCACCTTCTAAAAGCCCCTCCCCAACCTTATGGGAGGGACACTGGACCCATGTTCAATTGATTTCTGTGGGAGGAAGAACTGACACTAAGAGGAAAGTCTTCAAAACAGGCCAGGAAAAGGGCTCTGCTGCCATCCTCCTTCCATATCCTGTTTTCAGTGCTGCCGATCCTCCACACAAAGCGTTTTTCTCAAAGCTCCAGCCACTAGGGCCAGGCAGTTGTACAATCGTCAGCTTCCACTAGTTAAAAACCAGAATTTTTTCTAGCTCTCATGGTTGCAGAAAAGACTTGATACAGGGCACCACTGCAGACAGACAGTTAAGGCGAGAAGGGAGCATTTTATTGAGTCTCTCTGGCCTGTTTCTCCAGGAGATGAATGTCACTCAGCACTTTCTGAATCAAGCTGTACCTTTGGCTAAGCTACAGCTCCTCTTTTAGGGCAATCTGGATTTAAAGATCTCACGAGGCAGCGAACCACTACCACCCCAGCACACCAGTCCATGGCTAATCAATCTCAGCATCCTCAGTTTGCCCCTTCCTTCTCATCTGAATTGCTGTCGCTTCAGCTTCCAGCCATGGGGCTTCATTATGCAAAGACCCATCCCCCGGCAGCAATTCTTTCCTCGCCGCGATACTACTGACAGCGACCCTGTCACCTCTTGGGGGAACTGCACACGCTGAGCTGCTTCTCCCCCTCTCTCTCTCTCTCTCTCTCATCAGACAAGATATTTTCTAGATCCAGAAGCTTCTTGACTTCCGTTTAACCCTTTCTAATCTTGATGTGGCACCAAAACTAGACACAGGATTCCAGTAACGGCCTCACCCATGCTGTATGCCAGTGCCCCCATCTGTCCCACTCCCCATGCACCTCTCATCCACTTCCTGACTGCTCCCCCGCATTCCCACCACTTTTGGCGCACCACAAATGCCAATTGGCGCTCTGTCTCCACTCTTCCCCCTCCCTCCCAGAGCTGGAACCCTGTGAATCAGCTGTTCGCGGAAAGGGGAGGAGCAGGGATGGAGCACAAGTCAGGCTCTGAAAGTGCGGGAAGGGCGGGGGAGCAGCAGGTAAGTGTGAGGGAGGGGGCCCGTAGGCTGCATGCGACCCACTGAGATGGAGGGCCACGCATACGGCCCCCTTACTAATGGTGGTTGCCCAGCGCTGCTGTATTCAGTAATAGCACCACTGATCTACGCCTATACCATGCGCCTCTGCTTATGCAACTCAGACAGCATCGGGCTCTCAGCATAGAGCCCTGCTCAGCCAGTGGCACCACATCCTCTTTGTCCCTTCCTGAGTCACCGGTATTCCAGTTCTAGTCCCCACCCTCTACAGTCAACTTCTGATTAAA